TGCAACAAACTTTGTCGGAGCCAAGACCGAGTTGCATGAGCTGTGGCTACTGTTCCAGAACCAATGTTCTACAGGAAAGATCGTGAGGTACTGTACCAACAAGGGAATCGAATGGTCCTTTATCCCACCGCGAAGTCCACACTTTGGTGGCATTTGGGAAGCTGGCGTTAAACAAGTGAAACATCATCTCAAGCGTATTGTCGGTGACCGGAAATTGACTTTCGAGGAGCTGTATACTACGCTGACTCAAATCGAAGCTGTATTAAACTCTCGACCCCTGGCGCCTAGCTCGGATGACCCAAACGACTACACAGCTATAACACCTGCTCACTTCTTGGTAGGCCGCGAGATGCAAGCCATTGCTGAACCGTCGTACTTGCATTTGAAGGAGAACACTTTATCAAGGTGGCAGCTCGTGCAGACCATGCTGCAGCACTTCTGGAAACGATGGACAGCGGAATACCTGCCGGAACTCCAGACTCGATCCAAGTGGCTGAAAACGAACGAAATCAAAGAGGGTTCGCTAGTATTGCTTGTGGACCAGAACGCACCGCCGCTGCAGTGGCCACTAGGAAGGATTTCAGCCGTGCACCCCGGACAGGATAGCGTGACACGTGTCGTTACGGTGAAAACAGCAAATGGAGGAGAGTTCAAGCGTGCTGTGACGGAGGTCTGTTTGCTGCCATTTGTCCATGAGACTTGAAATCGGCATTTCAACGCCGGGGAGCATGTTCGATGATTTGCGCATCCCTACTGCGCTCCCCAACCGCAAGACTTTGGCACACCCTGTGCGATAACAATTCAATTACAACACACAGTCCTTTTCTGTTCTTTTGTTTGACCGAATAAAGTTAGTTGTGCTCCATAATCATGAGAATCGAGACGCTTTTTATTAGATTGACTATTGATTGTTCGTAGAAACCGAACCCCCAAAATTTACAGTCCACTCGATACCGTTAACATCACCAATCGAGCAGAAATATTTCTACGCATCTGTTAAGTTTAAGACTTTGTCATTTTTCATAATGTTGAAAATTTCACGAATGTGCAACTGTTGCTATGATAATTAAAATGATCCTCGGTTGCCTGCGAAAAGCGATTTCCCTAACACAGATTTCAAAGTTGAATTGCATCCGGTCTCACCAAACGGTGTTCTCCAGTACACAACGAAAGGCTCCCCTCAAGCAGCTAGCTATCAAGGCTGCCTTCAACCGCTGATCGGATTCAGTTCCAATCACCGTGTGTGGTGGAGTGCGGACGTCGGCATCAGCAGCAACAGCAGTGCTTTCGGCGCGTGGCGTTGAACATTGTTCTCCAGTACACAACGAAAGGCTGGAAGAAGCCGCACCACTATTGATCGGAATCAGTACCTCTTCGTGAGTCGCTGTGGGCCATCTATGCTAAGCGCGTCACCCTCATTCCAAACAACATATAGCTCACAAAAAGGCGAGATGTTTAGCTCATTGGCTAGTTCATCGCGTACTTTCTTAATTGGATAGGATGCAAGAAATATCCGCACCCGACTATTCCACGTTTGTTATTAAACCGTATCCGACCCGAATCCGAAAATTTATTTATTTGCATACTCGTACCCAACCGAACCCGTTACGGTTCGGGTTTCGGGTAAAAATGCCCGTACCTGACCGTCTCTTCTAAAAAGGCTATTTAATCCAGGATGATTTTAATCACTGAAAAAACCACATTAGGAAATAGTTCCGATACTATTCCGAAATGTTATGATGAAGTTTTCGGTAACAAATTCAAAATGGAGTTATCTTCACAAGTCACATATACACTAATAAAATATTTTGGTTTAACTTCAACTTTAAAATGTGATATTTTGACAGCCACCATAGTGACACGCCGATGCACGCCGCCGATCAAAGTCAACGGCTTCACGCCGCCGAGGCAAAAATGGTTTCTACGCCACCGCCGCCGATGAAAGGACCGAGAATTCAGAACATCATCTATACATTAGCTACTTACCTGAGTTCTATCAGTTTCCTATGCAAAAGTTACAATTTACCGTACATAATTACGTGGCAGAACTTTGTTTTGCCCAAACATCCAACATCTGTTCATTATCAGTTATACATCAACATTGATGAGAATTCGGTAAATATTATATAAAACTGTTGCTTCGGTTATCCTTTGTACTGAAAATTCGTAGAGTTCAATAAACAAACTACTTTACCGTTTAATCTGTAAAAAGATTTGCAGTATAGGGGAAATGGATGTAATGTCGGCCTAAATGCTCCTAATTTTGGCCCATACATAATTTCAGCAATCGACTAAATTTTCAATAGCGACCAAAAATATCCATTAGTACCGCCCGAATGACGCATTCATCTAGATAAAATTGATAAACAGCAGGCTGATGAAATTCATATGAAAAATCATATAAAATTAACGTGATCCCATAAATGTTATGTGAAATTCAGTTGAATCCCATGAATTTTGTTAATGGATGAAAATCATTTGCGTTTCCAATGGAAGCTACATGAAAACTATTTTCGGTGTAGAGCCATTTCTCCTACAAACAGTATTATTTCGGCAACTTAACTGATATTCAGTTATTAAATACCGATTGTCGGTTTCAAACCAGTTCTGAGCTGATGTTTCAGCTATAATTTTGCTTTACAAACCAGAGTCAGTAAAAATAATTATCGAACTCCTAAATCCTGGATGAGTGTGTAGAGTTTGAGGTTTTCAAGTTGTTCGGAATACTACTTAAGATTGCACGAACTTTTTATAGCAGCTGATTTACGCAGCTTTAAAATAGATAGTTTTCCTTAAAGGGTGATACGGTCAAAATTTGGTCAATATCAACTTGACGTATTTCTTTCAATTTTGCATTTAAAAAACCTGAACACCCCTCATTTTGAAGGTGTGTGTGTGTAGAATGTTGCTCCTATTTTGATTTTGGAATTCACTCTTCAGTTGTCAAAATGCCGTCCAAGCAAGAAGAGCAGCGTATCAAAATTTTGCTCGCGCATCGCGAAAATCCGAGCTACTCGCACGCAAAGTTGGCAAAATCGCTAAAAGTTGCCAAATCAACCGTTACAAATGTAATTAAAATGTTTGGGGAACGTTTGTCGACAGCCAGGAAGTCTGGATCGGGGGGAAATCGAAAACCGGAAGCCGCTGAGACGACAAAGAGAGTTGCCGGTAGTTTCAAGCGAAACCCTAACCTCTCTCTCCGAGATGCCGCAAATAAGCTAGGTGTATCGTCTACAACCGTGCATCGAGCCAAAAAACGAGCCGGAATATCGACTTACAAGAAGGTAGTGACTCCAAATCGCGATGATAAACAAAATACGACGGCCAAAGCGCGATCCCGGAGGCTGTACACGACGATGCTGACGAAGTTTGACTGCGTGGTAATAGACGACGAAACCTACGTCAAAGCCGACTACAAGCAGCTTCCGGGACAGGAGTTTTATACGGCAAAAGGAAGGGGAAAGGTAGCAGATGTTTTCAAGCACATGAAACTGTCAAAGTTCGCAAAGAAATATCTGGTTTGGCAAGCCATCTGTACCTATGGCTTGAAAAGCAGCATTTTCATAGCTTCCGGGACTGTCAACCAAGAAATTTACGTGAAAGAGTGTTTGAATAAACGTCTGCTGCCTTTCCTGAAGAAACACGGTTGTTCCGTACTGTTTTGGCAGGATTTGGCATCTTGCCATTACGGTAAAAAGGCCATGGAGTGGTATGCCGCCAACAACGTGCAGGTGGTTCCCAAGGACAAGAACCCTCCCAACACGCCAGAGCTCCGCCCAATTGAGAAATACTGGGCTATTGTCAAGCGGAACCTAAAGAAGACCAAAAAACTGCTAAGGGCGAGCAGCAGTTCAAGGCAAACTGGCTTTCTGCGGCGAAGAAGGTGGACAAGGTGGCTGTACAAAATCTGATGGCAGGGGTCAAGCGTAAGGCCCGGCAATTCGGATTTGGAAAAGCGGAAGCCTAACTGAATATTTTTCCTGAATTTTATACTAATTGAACTTGAAAAAGAAATTTAATTTGATTTTTTAAATAAACGATTTCACCGATTTACACGCGTTTTCCCTTGACCAAATTTTGACCGTATCACCCTTTATATCTCGTCCTACGAGTGATGCGTTGAAGCTTTTACTTTTGCTCCAACACTAGTTTTTTCTAGTCAGGATCTTTGTCCGCCTTTCTAGTCACTAGTTTACGGTATCTGTAATTTTAGATTCAGTTTTGTTTTCCAGTGCTATCCAACTTTCAATTACTGGTAGCGCAATTTTCTAACTGAACAATTACACTTCGATCAACACTATTTTAATTACATTAGTAATTCCACTATAATAAATGTTTTTAATTTACTCACTTATAACATTCCATACACTTTAGGTCTCGATTTGTTTTTTTTTTACTGTTCTCCTAATCAATTCCTCCGTTTACCTAACAGCGATATGGCGTTATCACTAGACTGGTATTTGGCCCAAACCGTGTGGCCAGTTTTCTTCACACAAGTGCTGAGTATAAGCAAATTAAAAACATTGGAGACGTGTTGCTAAAATCGGTCCGATACTGTATTTGGTCTGGCTAAAAATTGATGGTGAGACTGGAGCAGAGGAGCAGAGCGCCGTTGTTAATAGCGCAACATCATAAGCGAAATCGGATCTTACTAAGGGTTTCATTTGGGGTAATCCATTTAGTTCTGAACTCTGCCGCTAGAGCGACACTGTTGCTAACTTTTTAAAAGATCATCATAGAAGTACGTTTAATTGTATTTGTGTGTATTTGTATTTATAGTATTTTTAGGAAAAAAAAAGTTGATGGTTGATTTTTTTCCTTAAACTTTCCTATTTGTAGGTTTATCGTGTACCCTTGTTCTATGATGTTCTTCATTATATTCTATGGTACCTACAACTTACTTCAGCATCTCAATAACTCAGATATAAAATCATGGAGAAATAGCGATGATATTTATGAAATAATAAACTGATAAATGAAAATGTATGGTGTTTTTGCAGATAATCTATACACCACGTACACGAGGAAGGGCTTTGAAAACTGAAACACCGATCGCTGCGCCTGTATTAATTGACTTTGAATTCGAAACTGGTATTAAAACACCGGCATCTGTGAGAAAGTCCCAACTGATAACTTCGGCAGCGACTTCTTCTGCTGACAAGAGTATAAGCATTCAGATAGTGGAAGAAATTCACGATTCAATCGTTGAACAAGTCGTGACAAAATCAGAGGTTTTCACGCCATTCGAGGAGTTCAGCGAAAACGTTGCAACTTCATCGAAGATTGAATCCATGCCTGAGCATTCCATCGAAGTCGGCAGCCCTCTGCCAGAATCATGCTCAAGAAAGTCAACGGTTAGTGCACGCCAAAGCATAGTCAATGCTGAAACAGATCCTCAAAACGAATCCACAATTTCGGAAGTTAGCGAAAACATTGAAACTCCATCAATGTACACTTCGGAACAAACGTCAATGTCAACTGACATCATAGACGAACCTGCAACAGTTCCATCAACGGTAATATCTAGTTACGTTTGATTGAATTATTTTCCCTTAATTTTAAATTGTATGATATTGCAGGTAGAACATACGCCGCTTACACGAGAAAGGTTAGTTAGTGGTAAAACATCAGGATCTACACGAAAACCCCTGCTGACGACTCCTGCAGGCACTCGTTCTGCTAATGAAAGTGGAACGATGTTGCAAGACCAAATTCTCGATTCATTCGTTGATCAACAAGATGCTTCGATAACAGAGCCTGAGGTTTTCACACCATCTGAGGAGACTTCTGTTATGAGAGAAAACGCTACTGATGCTTCAAAGGTAGCATCCTTTCCTGAACGCATCAGCCCTGCACGAGCATCGCGTTCTTCAAGAAGATCAACGATTAGTACAAATGACTCGATACTTACGTGTAGTGATGCAGAACCAGGTGTTTCAAATGAGTTCGCTGTTTCCGATGTTCCTGTAATCATTGGTTCATCACCGAAACAAACGGAAATGTGGACTGGAGGAAACTTGCAAACATCTATATCAGCATCTCCATCGGTAAGACAGTTACATTTGGTTTTTAATAGTTTTCAATACTATGTACTATGTTCAGGTGGCCTGCGTTTTAGTTGGGCTCCAGTTAGTTCGGCTGTAGCCCACCAAAATCGAAATCAAACGTCATTTTTTACAGTGCTACAACAGTACTTTCCCGTTTTTTGTCAGCCGTACCTGAAATTTTAGGCTGACAAAATCGGGAAATTTTCTTCTTCAATATTTTAACTATCAAAATTATTCTGAAATCAAGTTTAACCATTATTTATCCACTATTAATGGAATTACTGATAAATGTTTACTATTCTTACAACAAAGGGTAGACCAAACGTCTCGAAAAGTTTGCGTACGGTTTGTTGAGCCGGTACGTACTGTTCGGTTTCTTTTAATTCCGCTTGGTTTTCATCGCTGCAACCAAGGCTGAACCTCCATATCTCAGTATCAACGTAAATACACTAGCCAGGAGCCGTCTCTTGCTACTACTTGGTCCCAAGATGTTCGGTATGATTCTGGCTACCGCGTTGATGGCCTTCGCTGCCTTCTCGTAGGCGTATTCTACGTGGCTAATGAAGCCAAACGGTCGTCGACCATCGCACCCAAGCATTTTAACACGCACTTCTAGTTTATTGCGTGCTCCCCAACGGTAATTTCTGACCGCTGCAGCGCTTTAAAGTTACTGATCAATACCACCTTGCTTTTAATGTGAGCTATCTGCAGCTACGCTCCATGCATTAGGTTTCCAATCATGTCGAACGCCTCGGTCGCCAACATTTCCATCTATTCCAGCGTCTTGCCTGTTACCGTGGGTAACGTAAAACGACGTCGTCCGCAAAGCCAACGATCTCAACTCAGTTTTAGGCCTCCATTTTAAATCACGTTCCAGAGCGTTGGACCAAGAATGGAGCCTTGTGAAATTCCCACCGTGATCCTAATCGATCTCTGTCCCATATTTGGCTCGTAGATAAGAACCCGGTTCTGGAAGTTGCGTCGGCCTCCCAGCTGGAGTTGTTGAACGCATTCTTGACGTCGATCGTTATCACAGCGTAATATCGATCTCCTCTCCACTTCAGTTTCGACGCCTTCTCGTTTCGGCTCTCTCGACAACTGTCCGAATTGCATCCACTTTGCTCTTCCTTTTTGAAATATGAACTGCCTCTCCGGCAATCCTTGCTCACTCTCCGTGCATTTCGTCAGCCTGTTTAGGATGATCCTCTCCAAGAGTTTTCCGAGTGTATCCAGCAGGCACTGCTACGAGATGCTCGTTGGTGACTTCGGCGTTATCTCCCTCTCCGTTTCCGTACGATGTAGGTGGCCAGGTCGTTGGATCGTGCTTCAAGAAAAGTCCTTTCACGATGGCTTTCAGGTTCTCTAAGCAATGCTACGTGCTAGAAATACTCAGAGGGAGAGATAGGCGGAGAAAATGTTTTGAGCCAATCGAACATTCCCATTAGAATTTTCCGAGGATTTCTTATTCTTACTAGATTAAATTTGAGAGTATTGCAATCGAACAGAAATTCAATCACTTTTATGTTTCGTGTGCTTCTGAAATTCAACTAGTTTTTGGAATCAAAAGCAATATTCGAACTCTATTGATTAATTGATCTTAGTTGGTTAATTAATGGCACCAAGTAATGTGCAAAATCTTGCGATGCAATCAATTATTATTTTACACGTAAATCGAATCAAATATAAAAATCATATGAAATGCTAGCTTCTGGCAAGGGTTGCAAGATAATTTAGGTACAAATCTCTGCCTCCGAATTGTATTTTGTTTTCTCCGCCCATCTCCCTCTGAGTATTCCTACTGCGTGGGGTCAACAATGTCAATTGACGTATGATATTGGGCTATAGCACTGAATTTCACTTCCGACACTGCCATTCGTAGTAAGCATGAAATAAAGTGGTTCGGCTTTGATATGAATATCACTAGCGAAAAGTAGAAAATCTTGCAGTTCATCACAGAACTTTGAATATCAGTAGTCCCTTTACTATGTCCACTGACATTGAGGCAAATGATATTGATATTCTAACTGTGGGAAATGACACTGACATCAGATGGTTAGTGAAATTCAGCATATTGTTGGTATTGATATTGATATTTTGCAGCACTGTCTAAGAACATTTCAGCGGGCATAACTTGACTTCTGATCTTCGTCATCACGACTCGGTGTGCGTCGTTGGCAGCAGCGTCTCGACCCAGCTCCAGTTGACAGTTTGACTTGCTTTGCTTTATCTCTCGTTTATGTGCTCGGAACATTCCTATACGTTCCTCTCTATATGCTTCTGTTCTTGCTCTCTCTCTGAACACGTCCTCTCTTTGCAACAGTAAGCTGTAGGCCGTCTGTTATTTAGCTCCAGTTTCCTTGGCATATGGTCGTGTCACATGCTCTCCCTAACGATTCTGTCAACTCATCTTCCTTTTTTTAACTTTATTTTTGAGATTTTTAGCCGTAGGCTAGTTCATCTCGTCCATGAAAGGTGAGGCCTCAGAAGGAGGACCCCCAACAGAGTAGTTTTTTACAGTGTTTACTTCAACCGAAAATAGTTCCTGGCTCGATCGTACATTTACACAACATAGTAAAGACACAACATTAAAATCTGAATAAGACAGATCTCCACACCGGGGGAACCGGGAGGCAACCACCAGGCAGAGATGTCCCATCAGCCAAAATGAATTAAAAAGACTAAACTTTAAAAAGCGCATTACTGCTGCCAGTGTGGAGGGATCATCACCCAGCATGTCATGTCGCGTATGTTATTTTGAAGACCATGGAATTCCCGCAGGTTCTGGGGGCATACGCATATAATGTGCTCGATTGAGGCTGGAGCTCTACAACAGACGCAAGTCCTGTGGAACGGCGTTCCACCGAAATTGTGCGAGATCTTGGTGTGACCGGTCCTCAAACGCGACGCTATCTTCTGATCCCGCTGGTTCAACTGTTCTGTCCATTTCCTCGTCGTCCCTTGATCCGTCTGATGAAGAGGGAGCGGTTTTGAGCCCACTATGCGTCGCAAACTTCCCGTACTTTGCTTACGATCCATCGCTTGACATCGTGTAACGGTACTTCGTTGGTATAGCAAGGGGCAGATGGTCCTGCCCCAGCCAGAAAGTCAGCTTCAGAGTTGCCTGGTTTTCCGCAGTGCCCCGGAACCCAGCAGAATACCGTGTTTGGTGGTGCGGACTTCATCGTCGCCTGTACCCAGGGATGAATTGGGGCCTCAGATGTCAGGGCTTGTATGACGCTATGCGAATCCGTGAGGACCAAGATCGGTCGGTCAGAGAGCGTTGTAGCAGCGATGAAGATGGCAGCAGCTTCAACAGAGAAGACAGAACATAGCGGCGGTAAGCTGCAGCTGGTTGGTGTAATGTTTCCGGCTAAACCGATACCGACCCCGGCCCGAGCGCGAGATCCGTCCGTGTATCGGTGAGTGTGCGTGGGTTATTTTTTCCTAACATTTCAGTTATAGTCCTTTTCATGGCCACGGAATTGTCTCCGGCTTTGAACATGTCCTTAATCCGGCTTTCGATTTTCGGTAATGGTGTTTGCCAGCATTTGTCTCTATGCCTGTGGACCCTGACCACTGCGGGGAGATCTTCGTTGGCAGCCGTGCGGAGGAGTCTTTCACTTCAGGTCGCAAGTTGTTGTCCTCTCTACTGCCACAGGATTCCGTTGGCCGATGCCATATCGGATTGCCTGATGGTCACTATGGGTATATCCTTCACACACTCTCCAATTCATGTTTTCCACCAGCGACGGAGTCCGCATAAAGTGACGTCGATGATGGATTCCCGGTCATCTATGCGAAAAGTGCTGGTGGTGCCTTTATTGAACATCCTAATTTCCAGCTTCGAAAGAGCTTCCAGCAAAATGTGCCCTCTTACATTGGTACATCTATTTCCCCACTCCACTGCCTATAAGCATTGAAATCCTCCGACGACTACCGGTCTTCGTCCGATCAGCTCTTCGGTAAGTCCAACCGGCGTCTCTTGGAACCGCTCCATCGTCCATCGGGTGCGTAACAACTGCATATGAATATTCCGGTAATTTTGGCGATCACGAAACCTTCTTCTTGAATGGAGTATCTGCCCATAACATGTAGGTATTGTAGCCATCCCAGCTATATCCGCCACCTAGTTACCTTTATCGGGAGGGACTCGGTACAGCTGTGTCACAGTAATTGAGGTTTATTTGAGTTACCTCTGTTATTGTTGCGACAAAACAATTAAGTGTCATTTGGAGAGAAATGCTTGAGAATTCATGCTTAAAAACCAAAAAGTTCGGCAAAATATTCAGGCTGACAAAATCAGGAAAAAAGATGACAAAATCGGGAAAGCACTGTATTTCTTTTTCGATGGGCTCATGTATGAACAATTTGGATAATTGCTAAAGGATTGTGATGATAATAAACAATCGGTGTATCCCTCAACCAATTTTCAGCTTGACAGCTCAGCCCAACTAACGAAAGTTGACTGTAGTATAATAATTTACTTATAATGAATACATAGTATAATACTATATTTATAAGAAACTTGTGATATTTTCAGGTAATTCGTACGCCACGGGTACGTGCTAGTGCGACGAAAATTGCAATATCAGCCGTCTCTCCTGTGTCCGTTGATTTTGAGCACGGTGCTGCTGTTAAAACACCAGCATCTGTCAGAAAATCTCTGCTGATCAGCCGTTCCGCTAATAAGAGGGCTACAGTGGCAGAACAAATTTCCGAATCGATCGTTGAACAACCAGATGCGTCAATAAATGGAGCTGAGGCTCCGACGCCATCGAAGGAATCATTCTTCATAAGTGAAGATGTGACACAACCTGAACTGGCGATCGAAGATGAAAGTTCTGTTCGAGCATCTCTTTCAATGGTAGAACACACATCAGAATCAATCGTTGAACAACCAGATGTGTCAATAATAGAGCCTGAGGTTCTGACGCCATCAAAGGAATCATTCATCATAGACGATAATGTGGCAGAACTTGAACAGTTGATTGAAGACGGAAGTCCTCTTCGAGCATCTTTTTCAACAAGGTCAACAATCGCTGCTAAGGAATCAACACCTGCCCGTCAGAACATAGTCGATGTTGAACCTGGTGCTCAAAATGCGACAGTTGTATTAAATGTCACACCGTCAATTCAGAGTTCAGAACAAATGTCAATGTTGGCTCAACACTTGCACAAATCGGTAGCTACTTCATCACCGGTAAGATATTTTAATATTAGTTACAATAAGGTGCACTAATAGAGCATGTACGATTTTGCAGGTAATTCATACGCCACGTACACGAAGAAGGACTTTGAGAATGGGAACTTCGTTCGCTACGCCTCTGTTGGCTGAAATTGAACTCGGAACCAGCATTAAAACGCCAGTATCAGTAAGTCACGTGCAAGTTCACGATTCAGCCGTTGAACAACAAGATGTGTCAATAGCAGAACCTGAGGTGTTAACACCATCTAAGCAGACTTTCGTTATCAGTGGAAACACTGCTAGTGTTTCGGAGGTAGGATCCACCCCTGAATACAGCAGCCCTGCACGAGCATCGCGTTTTTCAAAAAGATCAACTATTGTTTCCCTTGATGCTGATAAGAGGGCTACAATGGTACAACAACTAGCTGAATCGGTCGATGAACAACCAGATGCGTCAACAACAGAACCAGAGGTTTTCACACCATCTAAGGATACTTCTGTTAAGACTGGAAATGCAGTTGATGCTTCAAAGGTAGTATCCACTTCTGGACACATCAGCCCTACACGACCATCGCGTTCTTCAAGAAGATCAACGATTGGTACAAATTATTCGAAACTTTCGTGTCGTGATGCAGAACCAGATGAGCTCGCTGTTTCCGATGTTACTGAAAGCATTGATGCAACCCCCAAACAAACGGGAATATCGACTGGGAACTTGCAAACATATATGTCAGCTTCTCCATCGGTATTAGACAGTTTAATTTTGGTTTCAATATTTGGCAATGATATGCAATTTCTAATATTTACAGGTAATCCAAACGCCACGTGTATGTGCTAGTGCGACGAAAATTGCAACATCGACCGTCTCTACTCCTTTGTCGTATGATTTTCAGCACGGTGGTAGTGTTAAAACACCAGCATCTGTAAGGAAATCTCTGCTGATCAGTCGTTCTGCTAATAAGAGGGCTACAATGGCAGAACAACTTTCCGAATCGATCGTTGAACAACCAGATGCGTCAATAAATGAATCTGAGGCTCCGATGCCATCGAAGGAATCATTCTTCATAAGCGAAAATGTGACACGAGCATCGCTTTTAAGGACATCAACAATTGGTGCTAAGGAATCAACACCTGCGCACCAGAACATTGTCGATGTTAAACATGGTGATCAAAATGAGGCAGCTGGCTTGTCAATGTCACTGTGGGTTGAACACTCGCAAAAATCGGTAGTTGCTTCCTCATCGGTAAGATAGTTAAATATTAGTTTCAATATGGTTAATCTATAGAAAATGCGTGATTTTTTAGGTAACCAATACGCCACGTACACGAAGGAGGACTTCGATAATTGGAAATCCGTTCGCTACGTCCCTGCTGGCTAATGTTGAACACGGAACCAGTATTAAAACACCAGCATCAGTAAGGAAATCCCTGTTGACGACTCCGTCAGGCACCCGTTCTTTTACAGAAAGCTCTAAAGTTGTGTTTCACGAGCAAATGTACGATTCAATCGTTAGACAACAAGATGCGTCAATAAGAGAACCTGAGGTATTCAAACCAGCTAAGGAGACTTCTGTTATGACTGGAAGTGCTGCTGAAACGTCAAAGGTAGCATCCACTCCTGAACAGTCAACCGAAAGCGTGGCACCATTTTGTGTTGAATCCAAGGACAGTATCCCTACGCGAGCATCTCGTTCTTCCAGAAGATCAACGATTGGTGCAATGGAATCGAAAGAGATTGTTGAACATGCTATAGTGCAAGTTTCATCACCACATCCACAATCACCGGAGCAAGACTTGAAAGAATCGTCAATAGCTTCCTCACCGGTAAGCCCTATAATTCTCATTTTGTATTTCAATATTTTATAAACATATCCTTGTACACATTGCAGACAAAACATACGCCACGTACAAGTGGAAGACTTTCAAAAATCGGTACACCAGCCTTAGTAGTGGAGAAAGGTGTAAGAACGCATGCGTCCGTGAGAAAATCCTTACCGACAACTCCGACGAAGCATTTACAAGAGAAATTCAACGAATCAGTCAATGCACAACATGATATCACAATTTCAAAGGACGAGCTTCTAACGCCGGTCAAAGAGATATCGACGGTTGAATATCGAACCGTTGAATTTACTCCGGAGTTAACTTATGCGTCCCGGGATCTCGATTGTGTTGTTACACCAGCGTTGGACACGATTTTCAAAACTCCTCTACCAATCCGCGGTACGCGAACCCCACAAGCAGCAGTGAAACGAACTCCGGCGTCAACTAATGAGGAGAAGCAGTTGTCGAAATCAGTTGCTTCTGGAACTCCAGTACAGGAAACTCGTTCAACCAGAAAGAGCAGTCATGAATTGGATGCAGGTAAGGTTTATTTTACCTAAATATAAACCATATGTTTTATTGGTCAACGTCCTATCGTGTTAATAGTCTTAATGTCACATACTTAATTGCGGTTTTGCAACTAAAATCAAAAAGCGTGCTTGCCAAAAACAGAACAATACTTCAGTCAAAACAAAAGTCAATTGTGTTGCAACCATACAAAACATGATGACATACGACTTGCAAAGCTTATTAAAAAAAAATGTTAATTATTGGCTAATATTTACATCTCAAAATAAACAAAAATGCAATGACATTGTATTTGTTTATTATACAGACTTTCAGCCTATTGAATAAAAACAGCATTTCAGCAGTACTCTAATTAATTTTCTTATTTCAGATGATCGCAAAGTATCCATTTCGCCGCAAATTGAGGCAGTTCACGATGATGATTTGATCAACCAGACAGACGAACTGTCCATAAGTCACGACACGAATATTCGCCGTTCGACAAGATTTAGTACCTCTGCGCTAGCCAATGACAACGCAGAACATCAAAACAGCAGAACTTCCGAATATAGTCTGAGCTCATCCATGATGGTTGGTCTTTGCGACTCGCCCCTGACCGTGACGGATGCTAACATCACTGCAGCTCCATTCGTAATTGAAGAAACGCCAATTATATCCGTTGGACCATCTGTAAATATGAGTAATGTGTCTGGAAAGACAAGCTCTGTCGATGTTTGTCCTGACTTGTTGAAGCATCTTTGCGAACGGGTCATTACTTTGGAACATGAGTTGGACATTCTGGCAGGCGATTCTGCCAACTCAGTCAATGTTCTGCAATCACTGGATGAAACTGCGGCAAACTGTACTGACACTTTGATGGGAATCCAAAAACTACTGGAAACGCCATCAGCAACATCTACGCTCAGAAAGAAACTACGATCTTCCACTATTCCGACAGAATTGAGGGAAACATCAAATTTGGATGGCGTCGAGCAACTGTTGAAAACACCGATCGGTAAGAAGTTGTTGCGAACTCCAGAGACCGTTTCTGTGGGTACGTCGATAACAACAACTGCGCATTCTGAACTTGACGAAACAGCACAGGATAGCATTGGCTATCTAGACGGTATCCAAAAGCTTATGGAAACACCAGTGAGCTTGGCGGTCCGAAGAAAGAAACTGCAAAAAAATCCTGCTATTGATTTAAGCAGTTCTTACCATTCGACTCTCAATACCACTGTCGATTTGGAAGATGTTGGGCAATTTCTAAAAACTCCTACGGTAAGTTCTGTAATGAAGATAAAGCTTACTAGAACTACACCCGATATTTCAATACAGTTGGAAGGTGTTCACGAGTTGTTGAAGACTCCGGTAGCTGTTGCTGATGATGCGAACGAACGACTGGATAACAGTCCCGTCGCTATGGAAGGTATACAACGAAGACTGACTCCAACAGCTAGTTGTGTTGTTTCGTCCTCTGATAGAAGTACATTGAGGACCTCAGTTTATTCGATAGATAGCTCAACCCATCTAGAAGGAGCCCAGCGACTGTTGGAGACTCCGGTGACATCAGCTGTTTCACCAAACGATACATTCAGCTTGGACGGCGTTCATCAACTACTGAGAACACCACTTTCTACATCTACTGTCAAGAGGATTCTTAAATCACCGACTAGTCCTGATTCGACGTGTGCTCAACAGCCAAGTAGTACCATTGAGGGTGTCAAACGGACACTAGATACACCTAGTACTGCTGATCTGGAGAAAGCGGAACGATTGCTCATGACACCGGTTGGCCACGGTTCAAACTTGGAAGGTGTTGAGCAAATGTTCAAAACGCCAATTGCACTATCGACCGCACGGAAAAACGTAAGGTCTACAACTAAAGTTCCGATGATTAAATTGGATGAAAGCAGTAATTTTGAGGGCATACAACAGATGCTGCAGACACCGGTGGCATTCATAAGCAAAGGAAGACTGTTGAGGTCTCCGGCGAACAACTCAGTAGATGATAGTAGCATAAATCTCGAAGGTATGGAACAATTGTTGAAATCGCAAACTGCTAGCACTCCTATTGTTAAAAAGACAACCGAGACTCCAGTCCCATCTATCGGCGTTCGAAAGAGCTTGAGATCTTCATCCGCAATCAAGTTAAATTATACCGACCTAGACACCAGCAGCAGCCACTTGGAAGGAGTCCAAAAACTGTTGCTAAGTCCTGTTGCAACACCTATTTCCCCGGAGAAGCAATTGGATGCTACCAAGGAAACTACACTTAACAAAACCGTCGATCTAGAAGGAGTCCAACAATTACTGAAGACGCCAGATGATGCTTCCGTTGCCAAGAAGGTTGACTCTGACAAGTCTATCTGTTTGGAAAGTGTTCAGCAATTATTCAAAACTCCAAATCCAATTTCGGTTGTGAAAAGGAAGGAAAGATCTGTCACTACTGCTGCGGTAGTAAATCGATGCAATTTGGATGATAGTGATGCTTTGGAAGGAATCCAGAATCTACTAAAAACACCAGAAGTATCTTCAACAATTAAGAAGCGCATAGGAAGAGAACATCCTGTTAGTCCTGTGAACTTGAATGATACGCCTATCAACATGGAAGGACTTAAACAACTTCTGGAAACACCGATGGATACCGAGAAAAAACTAGGATCCACATCTGCTGTAAATGACGACACTGTCATCTTGGATGGTATGCAACAAGTTTTGGGGACAACGACTTCTACGCGTGGAAACGAATCCCAACAACATGATAGAACTTCCAATCTTGAAGGCCTTCAATCGATGCTATCGACGCCGATGGCATTATCCAGCACAGGAAAAACGGAGCCTAAGTCAACCTCTGCAGTTGATGGATTGGATCAAAATTCCTCCCGGTCTACACCGGTTCCAGTTGTCACGAACGAATCTGTGAGTTTGGAAGGCATCCAACACATGTTGGAAACGCCAATAGTTATGTCCACCGGCAAAAATATATTGAAACGTGCCATCGTCAACCCGATACGTGGAACGCAATCCAACACCTCTAAGAACACGGAAGGAATCCAACAGCTGTTAGTCAAGCCTACTATAATTTCCGGTCAGAAACCATCTGAAGATTCTCCGAATGATAGTAACTTGGAAGGCATTCAGCAGTTGTTGTTGACACCGGCGATGACTTCCGTGAAGGTAGACGTTAGCGTTAGTGATGCTGTGACGGAAGTAAGTACTCCATCTAACACCAGACTCAGGCGAAAGCTCTACACCAAAAACGACCCTGAAGATAGGACTCCGGAATCAGTTAAATCGCCGGAAATGCACCCTGTCACTAGCAAAGATTATTTGAACATTTTGATTCCAATTGCTGCAAAAGACACTAGGCTGGGTAAAAAAATGGCGAAATCAACAGTGTCCGACAACACAAGCAATAATACCAAATCCTCCGCAGATGAACCAATTCGTAAAAATCCATCTAGAACCTCCAAGAAACACAATTCGTTAACGGAAGAAGTACTGGCAGGTGCTTCGCCAGAAGTAACACACTTTAAACCGAAACAGCCTAAAGTCGTTGAAGAGCCTACGCCTATAACTCCAGTCGAGGTAGTGGCTTCGACGAGCTCCAAGTCTGATTCTGGTATTCAAGATCTGTCCGCGGGACGAAGAAAGGTGATGTTTAACGAAAACCTTCAGATTAAGGAAATCAACTCCCCGGCACCCGTAGGCGATATCATCCTGAAAGTGTCCCGGGGTCGCGGACGCAATGCTCAGAAGGTAGTCCAGGTCATCGTTGAGGAACCCCGTGAGCAACCTATGATCAAACCTGCCCGGCGTGCCACGAGAAAAGATGCGGAGAAGGAAGAATCAAACAATGCGGATGAACAGCCCAGTGTACAACTTGTTGATGCTGAAGTGACGAATAATACTACTATGACAAAACGTTCTCGGCGTGGTACAAAGAGAGTGATGAATGCGATTGAAGTCTCCAACGATGATATCAACAGCCAGCCCAAAGCAACTTTAGATAGAACAAACGAGGAATCCAAAGGTTGCACTGTTCCCGAAGTAAATGATAAAAGCGAAGCAGAACAAGTGGTGAAGCGTGCACGTCGAGCCGTAACGAAGAGTAAACCGGAGGCTAAAAAGACATCAACGCGAACACGATCCAAGAAGCTTGATACTGTTGAGGTGCTCCACAACGAAGCAGCTGTTTCTGCAGATCAAGTTGAGTTTTCAGCTAACCAAGAACACTCCAATGCCACTTCAACCCCGACACCCGAACGATCTCAATGTGACCCACAGAAAAACATAAGAGACATCACATCTCCATTTGAACTGACACATGATGAACAAAGCGCTCCCGAACCTGTGGCCAAGATATCGGAAGATGACCAAGTGGTCGAACCTTTGTCTGGTCGAGGCAAGCGTGTAGCGAAACATCCCACAACTAGATCGAATCGGGCAAAATCGTCCAAAAAGAACGTTTCGAATGAAGATTCTACTACCGATGCACATACTGTCATGGAATCAGTTGAGCAGGAATCAACTGTAACAACAAATATCGATTTGGAAGCATCTGATTCTGCTGCAGAACCGTTAGAAGAGAAAGCTGCACCCAAACGTACAAAACGGGCAACTGTAACCAAGAGTCGACAGCGTCGGGCTGTTGCTACTAAACCTGAAACATCGGATGCTAGGTCGTCCAGTGGTTTGACGCAAATTCAGGAAGAACAAATTCTTGATACACCGATACTCCATACTCCCATGGATGATGCACCCGTTGTTGAACAAGCAGCAGCAGATTCCACCAGCCACGACGAACCGGAAACAATCCCAGTCAAACGAGGTCGTGGACGCAATACTCGAAAACCAGCAACGAAATCTACGGATGAGCCAATTGCTGCAATGAAAGAAGCATCGCCGATGCCCCCTCCTCCAGTGATGGATGAAACCTCCGAAAAGTTGACTTCAAAACATGGTAGCAAGGCTCGTAAAAAGCCTGTAGTGCAAGTAGAACCAGAAGTGCATACCACTGAAGAATCACTGAATGAATCGCGTATGGCAAGAACTATGCTACCTGCAACGCACACGTCGACACCACTGTTGAAGATTGAGGAAGAAAAACCCAAGTCTACACGAGGTCGTACGCGAAAGATTGTGAATCCAACTGTTGCTGCACTAATCGCGGAAGAATCTACTCCAAACAGACGTTCCCCAAGGAGCCGTCAAGCTGGTTCTGAAAGTAGAACGCAGGACAGTCAGAATGCAACAGATGCAGAAGAACCTAAAATCAAACGATCTCGAACTCGCACCGCCGCTAAAATAAATTTGAATGACGATTCAAAAGACCATCCACCAACCGACGAAAACATTTCTACTGCCACCGAGGACGGCACATCAAATGACAAAAAGCCATCACGAATTCCTGCCAAGCGAGGACGGGGAAAAACTGATCAGACTAAAACAGAGCCAGTGGTTGTGAAGGAAGTAGCACCAAAGCGCATTCGAAAACTGCCAGCAAAGCTGCAAGTTACTGACTCTGTTTATGTACCAACCAGTAACGATACTGAGACCGACACTGACAAAGCTGATCCAGAAATTCCACCTTCGCGCAGCCGACGTGGTGGTACAAAACATATAAAACAAAAGGCGGATACATCGTCCACACCAGTAGTCGAATCCAACGATAATACTAACGATGTCGAAAAGAAGCCATCAAAGGGTCGGAAACCAGCGGTTAAACGACCTGCTACGCGTAAAAAGACAGCTCACGTTCCAGAAGAAGAGGCAGATGCTGATGGATCAGCAACCGCCAAGGAAATTCAAAAAGACGAAGAACCAGTGGTGGAAAGTTTCGAAAATGCCACGGCCACAACCAGTCGCAGGCGACCATTGCGATCGCGAAAGTGAATCCGTTGTTGAAGGAGTCGTCATCGAAAGGGATCTCTTTTCTTAATTTTATTTCTTTTTTTTTTAAATTTAGATGGTAATGTCACCGTGAGTGAATGTTTCATATGACTTTATTTTAACTGTTATTTTATATTTTAACCCTTTTATTCAAAAACAAACTGAACTTTTGTATTTTATAACCTAAGTACCTATACACAATAAAATTTGTTTGATTTGGCCAATGTATACGACTTTATGCAAACAGTAAATATATGTTCGAAACTCCTATAATCTGATGGAAAGCTCGGAGGGTTCATGATGGAAAGCATCTAATGGTGCTAAGCTCCAACGGTATTATCCTTAAATTAAATCCCGATCAAGAATGTCGGGCTGCTTTGATGTCGACGTCGGTGTTAATCAATGCCTTCCTAAATGAGCATTTGGTAGATCCCCCATCAGGGCCATTATTAAAAGGATTCAAAGCTTACTGCCACAGGGGGATGGGGCAAGAAGACAATACGGGGAGAGATGGGCCACCGTTCGTTTGGGCATATTACTTATTAACTGAATCTATTTTTGTTACAAACTTGTTGAAATTTTTTTTTCCTTGATTTGTTTTCCGTGCTGAGCACCAATGCTACCGGCGCCAGGGAGGCAGCTCCCACACCTGGACCCTACCTATCGACCCATCAATTCATGAACCGGGGACCAACGGCTTTACTTCCCATCCGAAGGAAGGCGTGATCAGAGATGTTATGCCTCAGAACATCCCGGCGGCGCCGACTGGGATTGAACCCAGGCCTGCTGTGGTGAGAGACAAACTTGTTGAAAATGCTTCTAATATGAATCTCTATGGAAACCGTATTAAGATTCAATTATAATATGTCCAAGATAATGATGGAAATGTAACATTAACTCAAAATCTCTAAAATATTATGAGATATGCAGTTAAGAAAACTAACATTGCATTCACTATATTGTATTTTACCGATCCGCTGGTTCTACAGCGAGCAATACACGTAACAGTCGCTTAAAGGACTTATGTTTGTATTTCACATGATTGTTATTATCTAGCGACATGCTGACAAAACGTCTAATTTGACTAGGGTGCTTACACAGACAAACAGACGTAACACTTCATTGTACATCTTCGTTCACGCATTTAACGGTTGATTTGAATATTATCAGTTCCGCGAACTACTCGCCGCAGCGCTGGCATCGGATCACTTTGACATTTGTATACATTCTATAGAACTTTTATGCAATATTGTTTGCTAGCTAGCGAGCAAGCTTGTTTTCCGCGAGAAGCCCGAGAGATGTCATTACTGAGGTCCTATGTTTTGAGATACTATGTTTTCAAGAAAAACTTTTTCAAAGAGTTTCGTCTGTTTGTCTGTGGTGCTTATATTGCCCCGGAGCAAAAACTGAACTTTTTCAAACATAACAATTTAATGGGTAGGGGAAATGGCTCTAATGTTGGCCTATATGGATCTAAGATTGGGCCCATTGTTAAAAATCTGGTATTTATCAATTTTATCTAGATGAACGCGTCATTGGGACGGTTCTAATGGATATTTTTGGTCGTTATTGAAAATTTAGTCGTTTGCTGAATTTATGTATGGGTCCAAATTAGGGGCATTCAGGTCGACATTACATCCATTTTCCCTATATCATATTGTATCCATATTTGAACACTGTATGTACATTATCAAACATATTCCATAGCATTGGCATGATCACAGCTATCATGTATTTATGAATGTTTTTCATGTTTTATGATGTGTTTTTCTTAGGGGGACCATATTGACCCTATCTACCCTAAGTGTTGAATGGAAATGTTTTAGGTGGGTATTGGGCTGTTATTGAAACGCCTAGGACCCTTTAACAAGATTCCTGAAGGCGCGGAACTATCGGATCACTGGTTAAGTGTCCTTTGAGTACAACCATACTCTATACCCAGGGATGTCGAGAAAAAAAATTACGATACCGGACCGGGGATCAAACCCAGCCGCCTCCAGAATGGACTTGCTTTATAGCTGTGCCTTTACCCACTGAGCTAAGGGAGCACAGCGGAAGGGACAAGGGTGACCAATTGAGAGCTGCCTATGTCAAGCATTTTTTTGGAACTTTTTCCGTGAACTACAACCAAGTTCGAACTCTCGGAATTTTTTTTTCAAGCTCGGAATTCTAAACTTTTCCTTAGTACGGGATACCAAAAAGGAAGTTAAAGATCTAAAATAAACTGCAATAGTTTCAAAGGTTTAGAAATTTCCATTATCCAAGACACCCCTCACCATCCCTCTCCAAAGGGGGAGTTTGTTAAAGAGAGATAAAACCGATTTGTACCTTCCTAAAGTTGTCCTAGCTCGCTTTCTACTCTCTATATGCAATTGACCACTTTGTTAAGCAGTTTTGGCTTGACTTTCTATCAGTGATTTTACAAAACTGGACCGACTAATTTTTTTTTCTCGAGGTCCTAGAAAAAAAAAATCTCAAAATAATGTTTTATTTCAAAGTTTGAGTGGTAGTAAATGTCATTTTAACTGCTCGAATTAAGTGGTTAATTTGCACTCTGCCGTACTCTAAACGGAACTATCAATTCTATACTTTCAACTCCTCATCTATCGTATAAAAACTACCACTTTAGTCTGTTATTTGAAATTAGTATCTTCAACTAAGTGATGTGATGATGATGTTAGTTTGCGTAGGCGAGCCTTGAGTCACGAGAAAAGTGTTTCGGACATTATGTTCGCAATAGCTGATGTGCTCTTTTCTGTTGTTGGTCGTGATTTGCTCAATTGGTTCCGCTATTTGACAGCTAAATTGGTTCCCGATATTTTATCCACCAGACTATGAATATAGCGACTATACACTGAGAGCAGTTCCGCAGTTGATAATACTATATTGTAAAGTTGTTTCAAATACATAACACCACTAAATTTGTGCAGACTACATATGATATTCTTTTTAAAATTGATAGTTGTGTATTTTACCATGACAATCATGTCAATGCATTGGAGTTAAAACTAATATGCTTCATAGTGCTCTCGACAATAATTCCAGGTTAATAGTTTAACCATCAGTTGCGTTTAAAACCAGCACGTTTTTAAAGTAAACTTAACTGTGGAGTATACACGCAGAAAAAAGTTTTTTAATTTCAATGATATTATGTATTAAAAACAACAACAAAAATTATCATTCCCCGGCTAATAACTTTTTTTATTGAATTCAACAATAAATCTTTATTGTTCGGACATAAAATATTGTTGTTTTCAAAATCTGTCAAAAACGCAATTAAAAATATATTTTGTTGAATTTACAATATTTATTTTCAAACAGACAAAATCTTTTTTTGATAAAAAAAAAATAAGTTGCTACCAACAATAACTTTTTTTTATTAAAAAAAAAATGCTGCAAATAACAAATTGTTTTTAATAATTTAAAAATAAAATTGGTTTGGCATAAATATTTTAATTTTTAATTTTAGCAGTTTTTCTATTCGAGAAATAATTTTCAATAAATTTAAAAATTGTTTTTGGTTTCATTTTCTATTTATTAACAAACGGTACAAATAGTGATTCAATAGGTTTATCAATTATACAAAAAATACCGAAATTATGACCTCTCATTAACGGTCTGTAAATTAATAGTTTGCGTTTCGAAACGGGCAACGTTTCCACGGTGTATTGATTTGCTGGAATCGGGGAAAAAAAATCGTTAAAACACGTATTAAAATGCAAATACTGAATTCCTTACAAAGAAAGCAACTTGTTCAAAAAAAACTTCTTCCGACGAGACTGGGAAGCCGAGACTGCACAGGCATTGAAAACACACACATACATTGACAAAATGAGCCTGTGTATGTTTTGGAAAAGTGTTACTTTTAAATTTACAATATATTTTTAAAAAGTAGTTAAAATAATATTTGAAGACAAAAATATATTTTATTGAATCTACAATATATTTGTTTTCAGAATTTGCAATGAAAACAACAAAAAACATTTTTGAAGCTACAAAATATAAATATTGAATTCAAAAAAAGTTATATTTGACATTGCAAAATATTTCAATAATATTTTTTTTTTGGTTCAATAAGGTCAATTTTCTCTGCGTGTGGTATATTTTAAAACAAGGGTTGTTTTTCTTGGTATAGAAAAATTAAAGTTTTTGATTTAGTTTTACGATTTATAATTTATCCTTTTTTTATTGAATTTGAAACTCATTTATTCAACTATGCTTATATAATATGACATTTAATTGATTACATAAAGAATTTCTTAAGTCTAATGTAACTGTTTCCCTGAACATTGTAAATATGAATTGGAGGTCCATCAAATAGGTCTACATGGAGTATATGAAATAGTGACGTGCAGCTGTTCACTTTAAAGGATGCAAAGTGGGTTGAATATTCTTGGATCTGCCATTGTTGACATGCAACATTTAAAGCATTGTTTGAGATTAGTAAATCTTTGATTTGATGTAGTTCTATGGCATTCATATTTATGGTTGATTTTGTTAAAAATTGACCAACTCTATACTCTGTGCCTCTGTAGGTTACAGTGCATGAAGCTTTAAAGCCTGAAGTTAGTAGCTTACTTGTTAAATTTAACGATGAAAAATAAGGTAAATCTATAAGCCTCAAGCTAACAGTATTTTCGTAAACTAAAGGGTCCTTGAAATGATTCAAATTTCGTATATTATGCATAAAAATTAAGTTAGCTTTCGTGCAGAGTGTAAAGCATATGTTACGCCTAGATGTTATGTTTCTGCAATATTTCTTAAACACTTGATGGAATGCTTCAAAACGGAAACTCCATGTGTATCGCGGAGGGCCTATTTTTTTAATTGTCTGAGGATAGTGAAGCAGTATGTGGTACTTTGGTTTAAGATGTTCATCAAATATTTCTTTGTACAGCGTGTGGTGACAAATTATTTGTTTTTCTAAAGTACAGAGAAGTTCATCGTTAAATCTAGGAAGCAAAATCATGTTCACTAACTCAACCAACGATAAAACAAAATTCCATACTTTATCATTTTCTGGTATTAATTCACCAAAAATTAAAGGAAAGTAATGCACAAAGAACATCATTTCTCTTGCTGTCATTTTAAAATTAGTTGATTTGATTTGTTCCTTAGTAATTGTTTTAAACGTATTCCTTTTTTCTGTTTCTTTACAATCAAACATTTGAATTCGGTAGTTAATGGTTTTCAAGGAAATTTTCAAATGTTTG